ACTGGGAACTTGCCATTCTAATAAATAAGGTCAGGTGCAAATGGAGAAATGTAATTACTTCTGGAGCTACTGGCATCTTTCTTTATAAAACTTTCTAATTCACCCCTAGGTATATAAAATCATAGCAGAGACATGCTGAAGTGCTTGACCCAATAGTTGGAGGGTGTGAGAAGCTAGGGATGTCCAAGGCATCTGGAAAGCTGTCATATCCGCATTTCATTTCAGGGTCTTTATTTTCCATTTCTGTCCGCTGTGCACAAGAAACAAAAGATTCTAGGAAGAGGAGGAAGTGGTTTTACTTTGCTTCTGAACAAAAAAGAACTCGAAACAAATTTGATACTAATATATAAATAACCAATCTATATACATCCATTTGCATGACTGTTTACGTCCTCTCTACCAAAACGTTCCTTTTTCCCTTCCCTTTCTCCACAGCTCTCACACACTCTCTCCTCATTACCTGGCCCTTTCTACATACTCCACTTTCTAGAACTTAATTTTCTTTCCCTCTTTAAAATGTTTTGTTTCTGTATTGTGGGGTTGGTAAGAATCCTGGGGGGCGGAGTGCGGGGTGGATGGAAGACGAACACAAGAATAAAATTCCTATCCCTATCCTCTTTGAATCCTATTACAAGTAGCCAGTGAGGTCTTAAAAAAAGATACTGGCTTCCTAAAAGTAAGATCAACTTAACAATGATATGTGTTGTTTAGTATTTCAAATGTTTACAGACATGCTTTGAAATAATTCAAGTATACTAACCAAACTTCTGAAGTTAAAAATAAATCAAATAAATGACTGTTAATTTATTATTACTGACACCATGGTAAGTCTAAGGGTTTTTTTGTTTGTCTTCGTTTGATTTTGGTCACATCCGACAGTTCTCAGGATTTACTCCTAGCCATGTACTCAGAGGTCACTCTAGGTAGGACTCAAGGGATCACAGGATGCTGGGAACTGAACCCAGGTCAGCAGTGGGCAAGGGAAGTGCCCGGTCCACTATCCTATCTCTCTCTGCTAAGTTCTTCTTCAGTGCAAATATAATAGAACGAGAACATGTTTTTACACTTTGCATTATGTAAGTTTATAGCACTACATTGACATTTTGTGATAACCATTATCACAGTTAATCAAATGTCAGTTGATAGCGAGGTTTTAACAAGCAATTGGATCTTTCCAATATAAAAGTGCTCTTATAACTTAGCTGGTGGTAATATATAATACAACAACTTTATAGAAAAAAAAAGCTATTACAGAATAACTCATAACATCCTTTTGGGTATTTAAAATCTCAACTAATTAAATGTATAGAGTGTTTGTTAGCTTGAATTGGGGTTATTAATAAATTTTTACAAAGCAATATATTAAGGATTTTTTTTAGGATTTGCTCCTCATTTCATTTCATTATTATTACCTCTCCCCGCCTTTTTAAAAAATACTCCTCAGAAGGAGTAACATTTGCTGTAAATCATTCTGCCAAAAGTAGGGAACTGAGAGAAAAGAGTGCTGTCAATCCAGACAAGAACCAAAAATGAACTGATGAATCTTTATATATTGGACATTTTCAGAACTTTAGTTGGGATTTATCTATAATGTATCCAAATCTACCTACACAGCACATTTAAAACTGAAGTTCCAAAAGGAACCCATGCTTTTAAGCATCATGCCAAATTGTAAAGCTTTAAAAAAAGAGGCTATGCAGATTCAAACAGCTCACAATTTTGTTACAATGCTTTTGAAGCCCTCCCGTTGGTTCTGAGTTCTATATACTGCAATTCAGTGGTTCTAGATGACTGCATAATCACTCCCACGTGGGTTTAAATTCCACATTTTGTCTTTTCCTAAAATCTCACTCATTTATCATTTATCCAGACAAAATATGTGCCTGGGAAAAGTTTTCCACACATATATGGAATTGAAAAGTAATCCCACAAAGTGGAAAATGCTCAACTCATAAATGCAACATTGACTAACTTCCCGATTCAGTCTTTTGGCATGTGTGATCTTGATTTATTCTCTAATCTTTCACACATGAATGTTTAATATACTCCCTTTTGAATCTGTTTATGAAATCCTTAAAAACAGTGACTGCTGCCTTTCCCTGTAAAACCGCCAGCCCAGCAGCACCACAATGCAGGAGTCCAGTTTGGCACTGCCAGGCCTAGTAACATTGGGAGTGTACCCCCGTGATGTGTATTGCTAGAAGCATTGGGATGTGTACTCTGAACCCCATCCGAAACAATGTTATCTCATGATAAAAATTCTCTTATGTGTTTGACAGTGCCATGCTAGAAAGTACACATGAATATGTGTTATTGTCACTGTTTCAGTTACGAGGATGAAATTAATTCCTTTGCAATAGCTGGACCATTGAATGTTATCTTAGGGAGGTCATATTTTGGGCCTCTAGTTTCCCTTTTTGAGAAGGAAGAGTTTTAGGTTTTAGAGTAAGTTGTAATAAAAAAAAAACCATTTTTTCTGACTTATTAGAAGCAGGAATTTAATATACTATGTAACCACTCAAAATTTCTAATTCCGTGTCACCTGGAAATCAAGGGAGAGGTTTAACCTCACAGAATTTTTTTTTTGAGGACACACATTACCCAAACTTTGGTTCATACTAAAAAAAATTAACTATCATATTTAAGTTTTCCAGTGACAGAGTGCTAAAATTAGGGAGTAAATTCTTAGTTATCAGTAGTAACTGATATTTAAGATCCTTAATATCCTTAACTATTCTAGATTCACTCTAACCTCCAATCCCTCCTCCCCCAAAAGTTTTACAAAGGACAGATTAATCCAATGACCATGATTCTTTGTGTCATTTTACACAAAATAAATAGACATAATAATCATTAATTTGTGATGGTTATACTTGGGCCCATAAAAGTGACAAAGACAAACAGTTCCAAGACAAATGACTAGGGAATGTGCTCAGAAATGCATACTCAGAATTAGGCACAAAATTTCACAAATATACGATCATGGGTTAGCACAAAGACACTGACCTCACTTGCAGGAAGTGAAGAATGGAGCACCCTCTGAGAGCTAGACTTACCTAGCGAAAGAGAGAAAGACTGTCAGTCCTGCAGCTTATCAGGAGTGGACGGGAGTCACTGAAAATTTCAGCGGACATGTTTTCTTTTCTCCCTTCCCATAAAGGACAGAATCTGCTTAACTTTCACTAAGTGCCTGTGCTAAAGTACAGTTGGGTCAAATATATCCTGAAACAGCTAGGTTAATATTTTGTAGCATTTATGAAAATATGTTTCTGAGCATTTGTGGATGATACAAAAAAAAAGAATTTGGCCTTGAGAAGAATGAACTATGCGGACAAGAAGTCACAGATATGGGCAAGCTATTTCTACAAAATCGTATTTTTAGAAAATATTATAACTAAAACACGGCATGATTCTTTTTCCTATTAAATGATAATAGCAGAGCTAATGCATTAGTTTATGAAGCTATCTGCACCAGACTAGGTAGGGTTCTACTCCTCTCTCTACGAATACACACAACCTTACATATATGTCTACACTACCCTCGCAATTTGGGGGGAAGAATGAAAGGGCAATTTTTAGAAGCATTCTGACTGGGCTTTCATTATTTCCTAAGCCTTTCACACTGAGATGAACTAGTTTTAGCTTCTTTTATCTATTATGCTCAATTATGATCAGGAATCTCAGGAAACCTTAATGTAATGATCTTTGCTTCCATTCACCTGCAGAACAGTGCGCAGGCGTTGGAGTTATTCAGAAACGAACTTGGATGTATTTTCTAGCAGACGGTGACTCTCAAGCATCTACACGGTTATTTGTAATGAAATATGATTTCAAGTTTCTAAAGAGTGTTTGTAAACAAACTTATCAGTGCATATTTAGGAAAACTCAGACAAACATAGCCCATTGCCTATTTATATCTACTGATAAGTGAGAAGACAGCCTGAAGTTTTGCAGTACAGAGAGGATACCAAGCACAGTGTAGGTATGTAGGATTCCACTTGGGTTTGGGGGAGCCCCAAAGTAGTGAAACCTCCAATCGAGCATCTGGCGAGGGTTCAATAGAGCTTCGTGAATAGCACAGGTTGGGGGAAGTTCAAAGTCAAGGAAATGCTTCTGCTCCTACCTTCCTAGAGCTGGGTGATTCTGTGTACATGTCAACCTCCATGCACCCCCCACCCCACACACACACAACAAATGTGTACAGTCAGCTCGAAAGGCACAGCTTGTGTGCTGACGTGCCAAGCCAAGTCAAAAGCTTGCGCTGGGCGCTCCCTTCTAACTTTCTGGCTTGTCCAAGTCTAAATATTGACACTGCTCCTCAGTCGAGATGTTTGATAGTGCCGGGAGCAGAATCCAAAGAAGCATTTTTACGCAGTTACGCCTTCCACTTGCTTCTCGGGGGGCTGCTGTTCCCAGGTCTGGAGGTCCCCCCCCCCCCCCGCACTCCCTTCGCACACCCTCGAGGCCGAGCAGACAAAGACCAGGGAAGGGAAGTTTTGCAAGCCCCTAATGGCAGCTGCTGCTGTTGTCACAGCAACTCACAACAGACTCCGCAGACACTGGCCTGGGGGCGGGGATCGCCGCACCGCGGGCTGACCGGTGCAAAGCACCGAAGGGGTCGCCGACGCTCCCCTCGAGGGTCCCCACGCCCCCCACCGCTCGCCTTCGAGGGGAAAGAGCCCCCCCGACAGCCCGGCATCGCCCCTCCTCGCCCGGCAGCCGGCGGGGCGCGCCTGTTGTGCATCTGCTCGGCTCCAAGTTCGGGGCGCGGCGGTGCGGGCGCTCCCAGGGGTCTCCCGCGCCCTCCTCGGACGGGGGCCGAGCGGAGAGGGCGGCTGCCCGGCGGCTCGGTGCCCGGGCTCTCCCCGGGGACTCTGCCGCCTCGTGGCGCAGCCCGGGGGACCCCGCGCCCCGAAGCCCCCCGCGGGGCTGCGGCCGGGCCGGGCGGCGGCGGCTCGCAGAAGTTTCCTGCCTCGGCGCGCTCGCGACACAGAACCTACCCTGGAACCGAGCGGGACGCGAGCTCTCTCCGCCTCCGGGGGCCGGGGGCCGGGGGCCGGGGGCCCCGCCGCTCAGCAGCAGCCCCGGCTGCGCGCGGCCTCGGGTGTGCCGAGCCCCTGCGCGCGGCGCGCCGCCCGCCGCCACCCAGCTCTGCACAAAGGCAGCATGGCACTGCCTCGCCCGCGGGCTCGCCCGCGCCGCCGCCGCCCGCTGTCCCCGCGACGGCCCCGGCCTCCTTCCAGCCGCCCGCCCCTGCCGCGCGCAGCCCCTCGCCCCGCCCCGGCCCCGGCCCGGGCGCCGCCGGCCGCGAGCGCCCCGCGCCCACCCGCCGCGCGTGACGTCAGCGGCCTCGCGGCTATTTCTGGGCCGCGATTGGGTTTCATTCATGAAGCCGGGCGGCCAGCGGGCGCAGGGCGGGGGCCAGGCCCGGCCGTCGGGCCCCGCCGCTCCCCTCCGGCCCGGGCCCCTTGCGAGTCCGCGCGCGCCCCGGGGGGACTCGGGCTTCGGTTCCGGACCGAGCCCGGCCGCCGACTTGGGCCGCGCGGCCCCGCCTCCCCCCGGGCGTCCCGCTGCCCACCCCCCTCCGGCCAGCCCCCGTCCCGGGGCGGCCCGTCTGCCACCTCCCGCCGGAGATGGACTCGAGGCCGTTCTCCCGGGGGTCGGGACGTGGGCCCACTCCTGCAGCCGCGCCCTTGCGCTGGACCGAGAGCCCGGAGCCGGGAGCCGGGACGGTTTCCGCGCTGCGATGCAAACCCACTTGACACAGGGACCCACGCAATGCCTACGGGTGGTCTCCCGGCCAAGACCTGTGCCGGTGGCAGTGAACGCGACCGACCCGGTTTCTGACCCTCAAGGAGCTTGCAGTCCCGCCCGCTCCAGCGGTCAGATTCCCACGCCCACCCCGCCCAGCACACACACACACTTTTGAGAGAGAGGTAGCCAGGGGCCAAAAACATTCCAATACACAGCTAACCTTAAGGCTACCCGAGCGGCTTTGTTCGTTTGGCAAACCTTTGTCGAGCCGACTTGTACCGAGAACTAGGACGGGACTGGCACACATTGCGTCCCTAGCCCCCTAGAAGTTCTCAAGGAAGGAGTTCCAGAGGGATTTACGGACTGCAGGAAAGGGAACCTATATTTCATCAAGGGTGATTGCTTTTTGGTATACTCCTGCCTGCCCCCTGCCCAAACACATGGAGAGAAAAAACAACAACAACCAAAAAAAACCCCCAACCCTTCTCTGTCATTTTCATTCGTCCAAGACATCATCATCATCAGTTTCACAGTTGGAATATTAACTATCCTTTCCTAGGATCCCCGGATGAAAGCAGTCCATTGGGTATTCTGCCTCTTCCCTACCTTTAGATTCCCTCCAGAGGTTTAAGTTCTAAAGTTCTCAATCTCCCAAAAATCAGCATGCAGAGAAATTCAGTGGTTTCCATCCCTTCCCCCCCCCCCCCCCCCCCCGCCCCCACCTCCAAAGGAATTATAGGCTACCTGCTTTTAGTTCAGTTTTTCACTGAATTGTTTTTGGAATCAGAAGTAATCAATCCCTAGTCATTTATACCAGAAGAGATGATTAAGTAGGTGTCAGTAGTCTAAGGACTTCAAGACAGATACATTTGGCATAAAACTGACTTTCCTTAGTCTATTTAATAGTGATTTCATTTTGAAAGGTTTAGTCAATATAATTCTTTTTAGGAACACATTTCTTGGTAAAAGTTAATTAACCTTGTTCACTCTTAGCAATCAGTCCTCTTTATTGCAAACCATTTATTTTCAAACTGCCCCGGGGGCTAAGAACTAGGGTAAACTCAAAATAAATGGGAATCAGCATGGACTGCAGCCCTCACATGTGGCAAGCCACGGGCTGGGAGGTTTAAAGACATTTTCTCAATTAATCCCCACAGCAATCAGTAAGTTAGATGATCAGTATCATAGACCATTTCTAGATGAGGAAACCAAGTCATGTCAAATCAGCGATTCGATGAGATTTTTGACAGTTACATTAGAGTCAGGGTACGCCTATGCCAAGGTCATTTTATCATGAATCTATTTTTGATGTGACCATCTTCTCAGTTTCTTTCATGTTTTTGTTATAGAGAGTTAAATGGCATGCACACACACACTCCAGCTGCCAAAACCAGAGAGACACCTGGACAGAGATTCTAGGTGGCAGGTTACCCTTCTGATATTGGCATTCCCCACATGCAGAGGCCCATTCTTCGTAGGTCTTACAGAAGCTGCTTCACGCATCAGGTGTAAAGAACAAAGAGTTACCACAGGACTATCCTGTAACATGCCTAAATTATGGAAACTGACTGGAAGAATATCCAGGAAAATGTATCTGTATGATCACTCATTCAGACATGGCAGAGGGAAAATTACTGTCTTAGGAAATCCTTCCAAACATGGGAAATGATATGAGGAGGAGGTAGCCACAGTCGTGGTAAGTAGTCTCCAAAATTAACGCATGAAAGAAAACCTTGACTCTGGAAAACTTGAAAAAAGGACTATGTGGGGGCTGGAGCAATAGCGTAGCAGGTAGGGCGTTTGCCTTGTATGCAGCCGACCCGGGTTCAATTCCCAGCATCCCATATGGTCCCCAGAGCATGGCCTGAGTGCAGAGTCAGGAGTAACCCCTGAGCATCACCGGGTGTGACCCAAAAAGAAAAAAAAGGAATATGTAGCAAGGAGTATAGTCTAAACTTTGGCAATAGGAAAGGAAACAAAAGCAAATAAGCCCCTAAATCACTTATATCTTCTTTTTATAAAATCACCCACATTTTTTCACTAACATTTTGCTTGCTAATAAAACAATACTATTTGCTTTTAATAAATATAAAACTACATACACAAGCCTAATCAAACTAACACTGCATTTCAACACTTACAGGGTTTTGCTAAATAAAAGTGGTGTAACATTATTTTTTTTGGGGGGGGTGGGTCACATCCTGCAGGACTCAGGAGTTACTCCTAATTCAGTGCTCATTCCTGGTGGTATTTGGGGGTCATGTAGTGCTGGTGCCTTTGAGAAATCAAATTCTGGGCCCTTGAGATGTTTATCTTGCCCCTGCCATAAACTGTTAATAACTTGTTATGGTAGATATCAAAGACTTAGGGGGAGGTTCTCAAACCCCATCGCTGGGTCTGAGACATGGCGTGGTAAAAGAAATTACTATAGCAAAGAAAGTTTATTGGAGAGAGATAGTGCACTCTTTTGATTGACACAGTGGGACTTCCAGAGAAAGAGGTCTGTCTGGCAGTCTTAGGGAACACTTTCTTTCTTTTTTTTTTTTTTTGCTTTTTGGGTCACAACCAGCCAATGCTCAGGGGTTACTCCTGGCTCTGCACTCAGGAATCACTGCTGGCGGTGCTTGGAGGACCACATGGGATGCTGGGAATCGAACCCGGGTTGGCCACGTGCAAGGCAAACGCCCTTCTCGCAGTGCTATTATTGCTCTAGCCCCAGGGAACACTTTCTATAGCATAACTTTTGGGTGCTTCAGTGGGAAAATTCTTTTTTCTAAAGATTATTTAGTCCTGGGGACATGTACCAAATTTGGAGGGGGAGAAAGCACATTACATATAAATTATTCTAAGCCAATTGAATAAAAAAGTATAAGAAATACCTATGGTAATTCGGATCAACTACAAAATGTTCTGAGCCAATCATGTAACGGTAGCCTATTCTGGAAAGGAAGCAGCATGGTCAATTCTAAGAATTTGGCTAACAAAACCACAGAATGCATGTTTTGCTGGGCCAAACTGATAAGGTAGGGGTGCCTGCACCAGTTCTAGGAAGTCTGGGGCAGAACGGGGCAATGGTGAGGCCTCTGGTTACAGCTGATTATTTTAGCAAGAAGGGTCTCAGCCTGCAAGGCCTTTGAAATGGGGACTTCAGCTGCGAATTTTTTTTAGGGGGTATTTGCTGGAACACCTCAAATATTTATCAAATTTACAAGTTGGAGTGATACCACAGCAGGTAAGATGTTTGCCTTGCGCGTAGCCGACCCGGGTTTGATTCCTCTGCCCCTCTCAGAGAGCCCTGCAAGCTACTGAGAGTCTCTCACCTGCACAAGTTCCCTGTAATGTACTCAATATGCCAAAAACAGAAACAACATGTCTCACAATGGAGACGTTACTGGTGCCCGCTTGAGCGATGAGCAACGCAAGGACAGTGCTACAATGCAACAGGTTAATAAGATAATTTCCACAATTCAGACACTACAGTACAGTTCCCTGATCACAAAAGGACTCCCTAATTCTACCTCTTTGCGTTTGCCTCTCCCCACCAATTATTATTCTGTTCTCTAGCAGTAGATTATGTGATTTTTCAGATTCATTTCAATGGGGCTATGCTATCTTTGGAGATGGAATGCATTTCTATCTTATGGCTGCATCAGAACTTATTAATTTATGTATCCATTTCAGGGTATCTGAGTGGTTCCCAGTATTTTACCATTGCTATAATACTTTCATAAATAATTGTCTAGGTATTTATATGAACAAACATTTTAATTTTTTTAGGATAATTTCCAAGACTGTGAGTGCTGGGTCAGATGCGAAGAAATTGTCAAGATATGTTTGAGTGATAGGCATTAATATAAGAAAGATCTAGTTTTTCCGCATTCTCATCAACATTTGATATTGTCACAATTTAAAAAATTCAATGATTCAATTGTTTTATAGGGACAACTCACTGCTGCTACATTATGCAGTTCCAAAATGATTCATGATGTCCAACAGTATTTTTACTGTGCTTATTTCTATTCCATACATTTTCTTTAAGTATCTGTTTATATCTACGACCTGTTTTATACTTAAATATTCATTTTCTACTCCCGGGTTTTGAGCATTTTCTCGAAATTATGTTCTGAGATCCTATCACAAAAGAGACACAACTTTCAAGTAACGTTACTTTCGATCCAATCACGAACTGTCAACATTTCTCTATACATTTCCGATAGTTTTAAAGAGCATATTTTTGGGGCTTACATAAAGAATCATACTAAGTACTCACAAAGACCACCCACACAGAGGTTAGTTTCAGCCTTATTCTACAAGTTTGGTTTT